CAGCATAGTATCTTTCGCAGAATCTTTAATTCTGGACAGACTCTAACACAACAGAAACAAACAAACAAAATAAATAAACAAGCAAACAAACAAAATATTATAGGGCTGAAACGAACGCTCAATGAAGCGAACGAATATTCTTTTTCCGAATACATGCGAAACGAAGAATATTCCGAATATTCTAAACCATGCAATTTCCATGGATACCTAGTTTTATCCATGGTAACCATGGACCATTAACTGGCATACACCCCAATTACAAGAGAGACATTTGAAAATCATTTGTCTTGCTGATTATAACACATCGAAAGAGGCAAGCCTACTTCTATTTTGCACCAAATAAGCTTGATCCATGTCAAAAAGGAGAGTTTCTGTACATTTACGAATATTCCTATTCTACTTTAACTAAGAATATTCTTTTTTCGCCTTGCATATTTCGAATATTCAAATAATTTGAATATACCTTTCAGCCCTACAAAATAAACAAACAAACAAACAAACATGCTGTCAGACTGACATTGGAGTGACTGTTGAGTGCCAAGCACACCACAAGCACTTCCAACTGTCCACTCCGCAAACGTGCCTGAAAGCAACACTTCCTGCTCAATCCAAAGGTTTTGCGGGTAATTAACCCGAATCAGCCACTAAAGCTTGATAAGTAGGCCAAAGAAATTTGTGGCCCAGGCTCAGTGACGTGAAAAAAATTGATAAGAAATCTGTCCGATGAATTATTGATCTCTTTTAATTGAAAGCTACCTTTCTCTGTTCACAAACTAAACCGGATTTTGAACAGTCAGACGTGCACAAAAGTGAGCACCAGACTGATAAAGAAAGTAGGCTGGAGCCTGGCTCGATGGCGCTAACCAACGGCCTTCCAACTTGGAAGGTTCATGGATATTGGTGGTAATTCCAAAGAGGGGATGGAAGGAAAGCCATTTTCCATGTTCTAAATTTAACATATTTTCTTGGCGCACAATCCCGAGTTCTAACTCCACACCTGACGAGCCGTTATGAACTATACGTGGTAACGATAATCGTGTGACACTATTCAAGTGTACATGTACATGTTAGTGTAGTCTGTCTGTCTGTCCATCATATCATAGTCATGAACCATGTACAGTACTGGAGGATATCAGAATTTGGTTTGCTACAATTCGTCCTCATCAAGCTCTCCTTTCATTTCTTATCCTTGGTAAAATTGAGCCTCCCAAGTTGGGTGGTTGTTGCTTAGCGTCGTTGAATTGTGGTTTGACCGTATTGTCCAATAGTCTTACCGTCCCGTTATCGTATCAAGCCAGCATTCCACTGTGCCCCGGAATGTCACATGTGTTTGGCTCGATGGTGCTTACCCTCCCCTCTCTGGAATTATCACTAATATCGATGAACCTTCCAAGTGTGAAGGCTGTTGGTGAGCGCTATGGAGCAGAGCCCAAGCTCACTTTCTTGCTGTGAAATGTCTCTGTAACCCTTGTCAGTTTTGTGCTAGATTGTGCACGTCATGACTGTTCAAAATCTGGTTTAGTTGGTGGACTCAATCGCATAACTTGTGCCCACAAGTTCCATGCTACAACCTTTTTTCCTTGGCTCACTATCTGAGTTCAAACGCATAACTTGTGCCCTGTCGTTTCATTTTAATACTTCCTTGGCTCACCATCCAACACTGCGCCACGTAGCACAGACACCGGCCAGGAACCCACGTGACCTAATCAGCTAGCGCAGGTTGACAGTGTTTCAAGTAAATGAGAATACAACCCAGCGTGATACACACAACCCAGTGTGATACACACAACCCAGCGTGATACACACAACCCAGTGTGATACGCACAACCCAGTGTGATACACACAACCCAGTGTGATACGCACAACCCAGTGTGATACGCACAACCTAGCGGACCAAGTATTTATTTACAGATGTCACACAGCTCGTTTCAAAGCAATCCAGCTTCACTCTCCGTCTGAATCTGATGACGACTCACTCCCTGATGACATTGAGTCTGCATCCTCGCTGACTGTCGCCGCCAGCGCTGCCAGCTTTTGTTCCGCAGCCTTTACAAGTTTCCAAGACACGAATATTTTGATCGTGGAGATCGCCAAGTTCTTCGCTCGAACTGTGAGCTTGACGACCTCCACGGTGGCGCTGGTAGTTGTTGCCACTCTCCGGAACGCCATGGAAGGAGCCATACAGATCCAAACAAACGCTCCCCATCTTTGCAGCGGTGTAGTAGTGCTAGCACGTTTCCACATCCTGCAGAAGCTCCTTTCTGGTTTCCTTCGCCACGAGTGACACGTCTGTCTACAGGCCGTGAAATAATGCCAAGTGGTCGACGTTGAGATGAGGATTTTGGGCCGACTGAACGACAACCTGAATGTTGAACGCTTTTGATTTCCCCTGCGCTGCAAACACAAGTGCATTGATTTTGGTTGTGTGCGGATGCGCACCATCGACTCGTGCTAGTACAGCAGTGTCTGAGTGCTGGCCGGCTACTGGACACTTCTTCGAGCCACGCGGCTTTTCAAACTGTTTCTCATTTTCACACTTTGGTGTCATGCGTGCGCGCCTGGGGTTGTGTTCTGGTGACATCCTGTCGATAAACGGTTCTGCTTCGCCGATTTTTCAAAGGACTCCACGCTTTTCGGAGGTTCAAAAGCCTGTCAGAACAATGGACGACAACTCAGCTACCCTATGTAGGGGATAGATCAATGACATGATTGTATGTCTAATGTCGACAGAAATATCATGACAAGAACAATAAAAACGCAACGAAGTTTTGCTTAGCGGAGGAAGTAGTTCTCTGACTCCTGTTCAGAGAACGTTGTGTGATAATGGCCTAGTTCTCTGACTCCTGTTCACGTCAACATCTACAGTAAAAAGTCCGAAACGGGTGGCGGTGTCATCCGGCAGGCACAAGTGGAGTGCACAGTACGTATATGGGGCTCTTCTAACGAGGCGCTTCGTGAGTCGATTGGGTTATACATTTATGACTCTGGGTTATACATTTATGACTCTCTCCCAGGCGCGTAGCACCGTTGTTGGAGGTGGTCCGGCAGGAGGGGGGGGGGGGAGTGTCCCCGGGAATTTTTCGAAATTAGGGTGCAAAATCCTGCATTCGGGGCACTTTGGCATTGATTAAAAAAAGTGGACCGGCCGGACCGGCTGCTACGCCCCTAGGTCATACACTGTCTCATTGGGAGTTGCCAAGGGCAGCTACATGTACGTGATACAAAACTATGTATGGCGGAACACGGCTTCGCAGGCAGTGTACGTAAAACAATCCATACAGCGATTACGCTTTATGCTAACGTAATTACGTTAAGTGGAACCTCTGAAATGATTACATATCACATGCTGTATACATGTACAAGGTGAAATGATAATACTCACCAAAGCATACAACCGAGCGAGGCACATGGTAGTGTGGATGATATCTAACCTGCTGGACAAGCATGGTATCAGTTCTTCCATCATACCACCCGCCATGATCCTCCTTGTTAGTCCACACTCCATCTGAACCAGCATATTTTATGAATTTGTTAAGGGCCGATGCCACGCAATGGTCATCTTTCATTTCATTATCTTCAAGCAAAAAGCTACCACGATCTGTGCACATCTTCTTTGCTTCTGTCCAGTTCGCAGTTAAAACAATACCATACCCGTCGATCTGGGCAACGGTCAGGTCCAAATTGGATAGGCTTGTCTGTCACCGGCTTTTCGTTGATTAGCTTGGCCAGAAATTCCTTTGGATAGCCGTTGTTCGTAAATATTGATGTCAGTCTGTCTAATTCGTCCTGCAATAGATGAGGGGAACATATTCTATGTGCACGATAAACTAGCGCTTTCACAAGATGTCTCTTCGATTTCGTTGGAGTATAGCTCCCCCACGGAATGTAGACGTGGCACGTGGTAGACCGCGAAAACTAACCTCAATATCGGACACCGGACAAGTTGGAGTAAGAAGCTCAATAGAAATCCGCAATGGAGGAGACGTAGCTGAAAGGACACTGGGTATCGCGCACCCAACGGTTAGTGTCAAGAAACGTGGAAGGCCGCGGAAACGCGAAGAGACGGATAGTGGTGATGCAACGAAGAGGCGAGATGACGGGACATTGGAAGAGACAACACCCAATGGAGCTAAGAATCGCACTTCGTCAATCAAGCAACATCTGTCAGCCCGTACCAATTGTCGTGAGTTGTACAGTGATAAAGTTTTCTCAATATTGTCACGTGGTAGATGTGCGTTGCATTTGGCTGTGTTAGAAGCTTTGTATATCCGTAAGTTAGATCCTGAACTTTGCGTACAGAAAGAAAATGTGTTGTCGCTACAATTGTTTGGTGTTACTCCTCGTCGAGGTGGTAACAATGTAACTTAATTTGCTCACTATGTTGTTGTCATTATTATTATTTTCCTTCGAGTTTTGTGTCGTGCTAAACTTGATAAGTTTCCACCTTGTCACGAGTGTTCTTATCTAATTATCTTTACGCTATATAAGTTTTAGTCTTTCAAACTTGAGTCATTCCCTGTATAATCCTTGATGAGAAGGGACCGAAAACGTTCGGATACTTATGACAAGTGCCTTATTATGACTGGATGTGTGTTTGCGTGGATACTTGCGACCCATAACTTACCTTCGTTTTAAAATAATAATAATAATAATAATAACCCGTTTGTCTCTTTCCCTCAAAACCAGTTAATAATAATAATAATTAAAAAGCTTACAAATAGGATGAAGGCCGCAGACATCACGCAACTACGTTACTTGTTTGACATGTATTACTGTGTATTTTATAACAAAAATATTATTGAAAACCCAGAATCGATTTTCTCGTTCCTATCATCAGTGGGAAAAAACGGAACTATGGATACAACCAAAGAAACTGAAGTTAAGTACTGTAAATAGAAAGGTGTTAGAAATAACATCAAGATACAAGTGCAATAAAACCACTAGAGGAAACGCAAAAAAGGTAACAAGATTACATAACCAAAATGATGTTTACACCAATCTACACTCTATGCTGTCACAGCATCCACAACTGATCCTCTCTCTCTGAATTAACTATTTGATAAAGCCAATCTTTAAATCGCTGTTGCATAGGATCTCGGGTGGGAAGAAGCGATGAATCGATACATGGCATTGTGAAGAAAAGAAGAACAAATTCACATTGCACGTGAGACTCGGTTAGAAAGACTGAGTTTCTGCATTCATAAGAATGTCACACCCCGGGGATCATGATAAAGAAAACATATGTCGTGAAAATGACTGAAAGAACCAAAGAAGTATTTGATCTTCCAGCCAGCTTAGCCTGGTACTACCATACTAGCAGTGCTACCAAGTACCAGCCCTCCATATTTTCTGTATTTGTACGGAAAATCACTCCTTGTGCGCACTACAGAAATTGAGCAAATGGTATAGAAAATCGGAGAGGATCAATCAGCTGTGTAGAAGCATTGCAAGTGTAAGCTGAGTGATGAATAGTCTTGTACCAAAGCGAGTGCATGCCGTACCACAACAACATGTACATGTAGCACAAAAATAATAATGTCGTGAGTGCAAGTCACACATGTTTTACACTACCAAATGCAGCCACCGACATGCATGTGCGTGTCAAAAAACATTACAGTGCAAGTATGCATGCAATGTACACGGCAGTACGCAAAACACTGCAAGATACGGAAAATCAGAAGTTTGAGTACGCAAAACAGACTCAATTGGTGGGCAGCTCTGTACTGGCCTGTACGGAGGGAGTGAATCTCAATGTGTGCAATGCACGCACTTTGGCCGACAGTGAAAACTATGCAAGTCGTGTTGGTTTGCAGGATGAATGTGAGTCCTTTTAGACAAGCGCCTTAGTGGAGTAGCCCACCGAAAGAAGAGTACTTGACACCGCGAAGTGGAGTCTGCGCATACAACAGTGAGGGGGTAAAATTAGCTATGACTGATTCTGCATGTGTTCTGCATGTGTGTCACATTACACTAGCAGATAGGCACACCTGTTGTTCCAAAAAGATGCTTATGTCAGTGTCTGAATATGTCGTGTACCAGGTAATATTGTTGCCAGGATCTCACGGTGAGAGTCAGACTTGAATATGGTATCAATAGATTATCAATATCATACATCACCATGTACCACCCAAAGTATAATAGCCGAAGGACCCGTTTGTGTGGTGGTGTATGATTTCGTGAGCAAGATGAAGTGGCTACAGATGTGTCTTATATAACACCCTAAGAAAAGATCATCAATTCTGGGGAAAGTGATTCTGGTAGCATGTTGTATCCAGTGTGGCATGACAAAGACTCCCTCGATTTAGCCTGTGGAGAATCCGTAAATACATAAATACAATACATACAGGCATCGCAACCTTCGGATTATATGCTCTTTTGCTTGCCTCCTGGAGTGTGGTTGTACCTTGGTTCACTGTATTAGAATAATAGTAGACTTTGTTTTTCGAATTCGTTTCTATAACATTAGGTTTCTTTCTGTTGCTGCTATGTCTTTTCATGTGTTTTACAGGATTGCCATCTGTTGATGAATACCACTCTGAGGCACTCTCACGAGCGAAGGTGTTTGAGAATCCATGTCGGAATGATGGTCATGTTGGCCTAAAGGTGCATTACATTGCCGATACTCGCCACCTCCACCCTGGAACATGTTCAATTTCTGTTTCTCGTATGGAAGGACCGAACAGGTTGTTTTCCTGTCTCAGTGGACCACTCAAGACTGAACAGCACTGATGGAAGAAGATTTGCCGTGAATCTCGTTCACATAATCAGCCTGTTTAATTGCTGTACTGAGGTGACTGCTTCATAACAATGACCATGCAGCATTAATTTTGGATAGTATTGCAGTGCCCCTAAAATTGGAGAATATCGAATTTCTCTGATAGCATTGTGATTCATTTGTGAATAAACATCACTACTCTTTTTGAGTAGCATAGCAATGACAGAGTTGGTTTAATGTATGACAAAATGGAGCCGCTTTTTAACTTAAACCTGTACTATAATCAGTACCGCCGGAAGCAGTTTTTGATTGGTCCGGTAGTTTCATGGCGGGTACACACGTCCTCCACGGTAGGAAACGTTTGTTGGTGGCCAACAAGTTGGTCTGGTGATAACCTGACCAACCAGACCGGCGGGCCTGATAATTGTGGGGCTCATGAGCAGCTCAAGTACTTAGTATGGTTTTGGACATGTCCCCAGTTAACCAATGAGAATAACCGGAAAACAAGGGGGGCTTTAGATGCCGGGCTGACTTAACAAGAGGCAGGATAAGCGCGTTACGGGTTGAGCTTGTCGAAAACCAATTGTACTTCATTATGTGTGAAGGGGTTTTATGAAGAAATATTTTATGAACCAGTGTACAGAGATGGTGCTTATGACGAAAGGAGAGAGGAGAAGTGTGTGAAAGTCGATAAAGGGCATCCGAAGGAACACATCGATCCTTGTTGTAAAGAATATTAAGTATAAATCTATGGTTGAAACCTACTTCCCCAAGCGTTCTCTGTTAAGTATAAATCTATGGTTGAACCCGACTTCCCCAAGCGTTCTCTGAGGGGACCGAGGTCTACTCTATCAGTTCATGTATTCTGTGAAGTGACATGACCATTCGTGGGGACCTTGCTCATAACTGCAAAAGTCCTCGTCTGATTTTTCCGCATCAATTGAACGTTATACATGGGCATGTAGTGAAAGCCACATGCAAAAGGCTGTTCCATGGCACTCATCTGCCACCAAGCTCTGGGTTCATTGGCTGAAAATATTCTTCGGCACAGTAAAGTCGTGCGCCCAAGAACGTGGAAGCCTACAGAACATCCAACCTGGAATACTAAGAACACCACAGCCCAAAATTAAGAATTGCGGTGTAGGTTTGTGCTGTTGTCAAACACCGGGATTGTTATGTTGCACATGTATCTGAGCTTTACCACTACATACACGTCTGTCTTTACACAATTACCAATCTGCAGACAGCATGCTGTTTCGTCCTTTAGTTACTAATGGACTCATCAATGCAGCACAGAGAAAATGAGGCAGGTGAATGTCCTAGGCTAGAGAGCATCAAATACAGGTATAGAATCATGCCTTGCAGATCTCGTTACGGCCCCTTCGATGCATGTCTGAACATTAGATGGCTGTGTAGCTTCAGTTATCTCAGAATATGTACTATTTATCCAGCAGCAACAACGTTGGTCACACAACTATTCACTATAATGAGTATGCGTTGGAACACTTTACCCCGAGTCATACTATAGCAGTGTATGCCATGCATGGGTTTACCTCACACACTGAATTTCATAATTTGACATCCAAATCACAGAAGAGTGGTGTTCCAAACTTTACGTAATTGCACTCCATGTCCTGCGAGCTACAGTAGAATACTTCAATAGAAAATTTCTTATAGCACGTTCTTAGAAACAAATCGTATAGGTTCGAGGCTGTCAACCCAGAAATTTGTGATTTCACAGCCATAGATGTTACCAGTCAGGTCACTGTATACAGTAGGTATGCAGAAGAAAATACTAGTAACTCTTTGTGGAAGAGCTGTGCCAAAATGTGTACAGTACAGTAAATTAATAAAAAATGAGAAAAGCAGTGACAAGGCTGTGCATGATGTAGATCTACTCGTACCAGTAAGTACAGTGCACCAGTGAAATTGTTGGTGTAGTACCGGTATACTACTATAATTATGGCATGGCCCATGCCACTACAATCTATTTGCAGTGGTCCGCAGTAGGCCAGTGCAACAGAAAGCATTTCAGAAGCTGTGTGCAATGTTAACATCTATGACATACAAGTAAACTGCCATATAGCACAATCGATTACTCTCAGCCCACATAAGTACAATGTAGGCCAATCAGTAGTATAGATACATAGAGCACACTCTACATCATACATAGTCGGCACCAAATCTATGTTGTCGATGTACTTTGCAATGATGACATGATGGCAAGCGTGCTTGATTCATCATAATATTGCCTTGTACTTGGTTGGAAGTTAGTTGTAAGTTCAGTGGTCGAGGTAAGCAGAGCTGCTCCAGCTTTCAGAATCCTGCATGAAAAAGGCAGAAAGCAAATGTAGGTATAATAGTAGCAAGCTGATGTAAAGAGCCTGTCTTTCAATGCAATAATTCTATCCACTGCATGGACAGACCTGGTGCTTCATTCACCTCTGTTTCTTGCTTTCTCAGAAAACCTACTTCCTCCTTCAGCCATCTAGCTCATGATATACATTAATTTTTCTTTATGCCTTTTCAGCCGTGGTCGACTTTCGCCCCTCCTGTTTGATTGGCAATTGCAGTCAACCTGGGGAATACTGACCCTCGATTGTGAATGAGAAAAGTGTCGCTATTCGCATTGTTGTTACTCGTGAGGTTGGAAGTATGCAATCAAATGTTCACTGGATCTGAAGATTGTGTCGTTATTTGCGAGTTGTTTTGTAAACCCGAGGTAGATTATTCACAAGGTTGATTGTACATGCTATGGGATGTACAATAACTAACCAAACAATAATGGTGTAACAATGATTTGAGTCCATATCCAATTGGATGAACCTAGAGTGCATGATCCATTCCAGAAAGGCGACTTCAGTGAGTCTTGAATTGTCAGCAGCATCATACTTCCATCGAGCTTTTTTTCTTTTTCGAAACGACCCTCTCTTTTCAATTCGAACGAAGGTCAACATACGATTATGGCAGGCATGCACGCACTGATCTTCACTGTATACATGTGCATGTATACTGTACTGTAGTCTGTGCAGTCAACTAGTCGTGTTCCACTTGGCTTACGGTAAGTATCACTACAAGTGCATAGTAGCCCCCCCCCCACCCCAGGGAGTGCGCGTGAACGGCAACTGTGAACTGGTAAAAGAATTATTCGACACCTTCGTTCGTTTCGATGGAGAAGGTTCATCTGACAAATTGAGGCCTTCGTTTCACTCCTAGCCCCAGGAGCGAAATTTTCACTCCTTGGCTGCCTGTTTGAGCCGTCCTTGTGGAAGGGTTGATTTATGCATGCCCGCATATACATGTAGACCTTATTCAATAAACGTCACAATCACGTGAACCAGGGTCCCGGGAACCAGGGAGCGGCAAGAGACCTGCACTCAGTGCACAGTGGACTCGGCGTGGGAACATAGGAGTAGAAAAATACCGGTATTTTACTACTCCCTTGTACGAACTGGGCCTTTCTTGCCACTCGTTTCACGTACGCGTGCCCCAGCTTACAACAAATCCCTGGAGGCGAGTCCAAAAATCACGTTATCGAATAAGGTCTATAGAAACACAGATCACGTAGAACTACCCCATCCGGGGTCACAACTCACAACGTTTTGGGTACTTAGGTCTCATGTTGTCTCCCCAGGTGCTATGAATCCCTGATGCACATGTATCTACATATACAATGTAATCGTAACTCTACCAATATTGCGGACGATGACCCTCCCCCCCCCCCGGCAAACAGAAAGTCGCTATGTCCTGGCCGAGTTTATCTTTTAATTAAATGGTTTTCTCGGTTGGGATTTCATACCTGACAACCATCCCGATTTGGCCGGGACCGTCCCGATATCGAGGGCGGTAATAGGCACCCAAAAGTGCACTAGTTCCATGCCTCACCGCGAGCTTCTTTTGTATACATTTTCATGTCTAGGTATGTCATTGGATCTCAGGTTTGCAAAGGTTGGCAGGTATGGGATTTGTAGAGTGACCAGTTTTGACTATTGCCACCTGCTGTGCAGAAGTGTCATTCCTACATCCTGGCTGCAAACGTACCCCCCCCCCCACACACACCACCACCAACAATGTTCGATCCTATTTAAAGGACCTCACTCTATATGAAAGTGTAGCAGAGGCACTGCCAAAGTATAAAAAACAGCAATTGAAATGCAAGCTGCATTGTGCATGCATGGAGGGCATGGGGAAGAGACTGAGAGGGTGAAAGTGAAGGAAATTTGTTCCGAAATCAAGAGAATCCGAGGAACCCTTGCTGCATTCTTCAGTTCGATAACGTCAGTGGGTGAATCTCAGATGTGTTGTGTGCCCAGACATACAAGTACAGCACTAACCTGAGCATGAGAGCTGCTTGTCATCATCGTGGTCAGGAAAACGAAAGGACGAACGAGGAAGATTGCTGACCATGCATGACGAACAACTGCATATCTAGACGACAGACGGCTTGCCAGAATCAGTCTGGTGTATCTTCAGGAATCTTCTTTCCTAATCGCATTCAGCAGTCAGCTTCGAGGTCAAGAACGCGATGATATTTTCAGAAGGAATAATTTTCAAAAATTTTAAATTTTGGAGAAGAAGCTTCCTTTCTAAAAAAAAAGCGTTCCTTGCTTTCACGCAAGGAGGTGCCTTGCCGGACATGTCGTCGACAGCACAGTGTCGGCAGATCCACGTTTGTAGGCTGCAGACCCGGCAGACGTTTTGATCATCCCGGCCTGGTGGTGAGATTTTGGACCCGGGAGTACTAAAAAGCTGCTCGCATCCCAGGGTGCTCAGTTTCGCTCTACCCGCGCGAGTAGGGGTCCAGGTAACGGGCTCTCTTTCGCGGCCTGCCGAGCATAATATACCTCACAACTGTACTACCTGTACAAAACTCAAGCGCCAGTGGTCAAGCGCCAGTGCCAGGCAGTGGTCAAGTACGACCAGTGCTAGTGCATTACTCAAACTGTCAAAGGCAGTTACGGCTACGAGTACGAGTATACATGACAGGCCTTGTTTGATGTTCCAGTTTTGCCAGTGTCATGCTGCGGAGTTGCAACAAAAATGAATCTCGCGAGCTCGCCGCCTTTGAAAAATAATTGAAAATCGCAGCGCTAGCGAAGATACCGCGTACCGGTATGACTAATAATTATACCTCACTCCATATACACTTAAAGACTTTTAAAGTACATGTACTTACAGTCTTTTAATCTTTTTAATCTGTATTTCAGGATTACCCAAAGGCTAACTTAGGCATGCTCTCCCTTAGTGGTGTATATATCTCCATAT